AATGAGTAGAGGTTGGTGATAAATGCTAAGGCTAACAAAAAGGTTGGGGGTTTTTTTCATTATATTGATTGCAGGAAAAAGATGAGGAAGGAAAAAGACTGTAACTCAGAGATGAAAAATATGATAAAAAGAAGATGGAACTATTTAACCCTGATTTTGTTTCTATTTTCTCTATCTTTGGATCAGAAAAAATGGAACAAAAATGATCAATTTTAAGGAGAAACTTTTTCTAAGGGAACTATTAAAAATTAATTAAAAAAGAAATGAAATAAAACAAAAAATCATAACAAAACAGAAAATGAAAAAATCGTAAAAGCAAATAGATTTTCAGAGCACAGATTCCTTAACTAATATCTATCTCCGAAGTGGCCTGTGCTGCCCGGTAAACAGTATCTTGGACACATAGTCCCCCTTCCTATTCCTTGCCTTACCTCCATATTGGAGGTTTCTATGACTCTAGACTCCCAAAATTCTTGCCTTCAATTTCCTTACCAGTTGTTCTAAGCTCCGACTTAGACACATTACTATCCCCTGTCACACTAGTGGCAATGGTGACCTCAAAGGCAGGCATCCTCTCCCCTCCAGGTGTTGGCATTATGCCGCCTCTTTCAATGGCCAGAAGCTGATTTCTGACTCTTATTATTTGAAAGTAAAGAGCTGCCCATAATGATCCCTTTCCTCAAAAAATCAAGAGATTTTAAGTTGTAAGAGATATCAGAGGCTGCTCTCTGGTCCAACACTTGTACCAAGGAATCATCCAACCTTTGCTTGAACACCCTCAGTGAGAGGAAGCCGATCACCTTCAGAGACAGTCTACCCCACTTGTGAATGGCTCTCATTGTTAGAAAGTTTTTCCTTACCCATTTAAATCTGCCTTTTTTGCAAGTTCTCATTACTGCTGGTTTTGCCCTCTGGGGCCATGAAGAACAAGTCTACTACTCCCTTGTTGATGTCACTTCCTTCAAATAGTTATAAACAGCAATCATGTCTGTGCAAGCCTGCTCTTCTCCAGGCAAAATATTCCCACTTACTTTGACTGATCCTATATGAGATGAACTCAAAGCCCTTACTATCAACGTGCCCTGTTCTGGACACTCTCCAGTTTATTAATGTCCTCCCTAAAATGTGGTACTCAGAATTAAACACAATAATGCAAATTTGGTCCTACCAGGATAGAGCAAGGTAGGACTAGTCCTGAGCACTATGATTTTCAATGAAACCATAATATCCTTAGCTCTTTTGGCCACCACATTCTGCTGGCTTTCAATGAGCTTGTAATCATTAAACCTTTTTTTTTCTTTTCAAATGATGTGCAGTTTAGCTCTGCCTCCCACCATCTTGTCCTATCTGAGGACAATCTGCCTTTAGCTCTCAAGTCATTGGCAGAGCAAAGATGACTGATATACCCTGAGGTCAGTGAACAATCACATTTTTCTGACTGAGGAGACCAGCTTCATTGACTTCTATAGATTTGTTTTGATGATCACTTACTGCTCCAGGGTAAAATTTTCCAACATCCTATCCTGAATAGTTTATGACATAAAAATTACTCTTCACATATAGTCACAGACAAGAGAACATATACTTGTTAATTACATATCCCATAATTTGAAAAATATGTGATTCAAATGTGGTCAGTACAATTCATATTAATCTACTCCCCATCCCTTCCCCCCAAAGGAAAGTAATTTCTCCCTAGGTGATACAAAGCCTAGAGTCAGGAGCTCTTCCTGAGTTCAAATCTGGCTTAACCCTGTTTGCCTCCATTTCCTCTTCTGTAAAATGAGCAGGAGAAGGAAATGGCAAACCACTCCAGTTACTTTGCCAAGAAAATCCCAAAATGGGGTCGCAAAGAATTAGAACTGTAATGGCTGAATAACAACAATTTCTTCCTCCATGGAGCTGGAGCTGTGTGGTTTTATTTGTTTGGATGAATTTTTTTCACCCTTCACATTTCAGCTGAACTAGATAACCTCTAAACTAGAGAAACATCCTAACCTTCCCCACACATCCTTCTATCTCACTTTGGACTTCAGAGAAAAGGGAAAGAAAACAGCTGGGAAAAGGAGAGGAATGAAAACCACCAAAAGAAATCTGAAGAAGTACATTTACTCATTCAACACTTGGCTCTTTCACCTTCTCCTCTCCTCTGCCTCAGGGCCACCAGATCCAATCAAAAATCCATAGTAACTTTTTGAATCCCAGGGCTCCATTAATTAGGGACTGAGAATGGTGTCCCCAAGAAAAGAAAACCTGGAGAGAAATAACTGCTCTCTTTAAATATTTGAAGGTAGGGTGGTAGAGTCAGGAAAACCTGGGTTCAAATCTTGGCTTTGCCACTTGCTGGGTGACTAGCTTTTCTTCTCTGGGCTTCAGTTTCTTCATCTGTAAAATGCTCTGGTCTAGATGCTCTCCAAGGTCCTATCCTACTCCAAAGTTATGGCCTACAATCAGGGGTGTGCTGAAGCCAGCCTCTGCCAGTTCCCAAGAGCTGATTGCTAAATTTTTAGTGTATTTATACCTCAGAAATGGACAAATGCTACAAATCAGGACTTAGCTTATTATTTTGTTGATTAATGACAATGTAATGGAGAAAAATGTTAGGGATGCAGATTAATCTTAAAAGTGTATTGTGAGTACATATTTTTTTAGAAAGCTGGTTGTTAAACATTTACTATTATCTCCTGTCTATGGTCTTTTGTTGTGATTCCTTCTGTTTTACCCCAGAAGGCAGAAATGCAACTAGTAGGGAGCACGTAATGACAAATAATTTTGCCTCAGGAGGGTTTTTACCTTGTGAGACAGAAAGTTGTGGGAGTGAAGGGGAAGAGTCAGAGAGCCATAACACCTTAGGGCTACTGCAGATGAGGGCCTGATAGATTTCTGGATAGAGACACCTGCTGGAGCTACAGAAAACTACAAGAGGAACTAGGATGGAGAAGAGCTGTGATCATTCTCAGAACCAATTCTGATGATGCCCCAGTGAGCTGAAAGACGATGCAGAGCAGCTTTGTCACCAAGCAGGAGTGATTCCTGGTGACACCTGCTAGGGGCAGAAGGGGCCCACGCAGGGAGAGGGACAAACCTTCCTCTTCTATACTGAAACTGTGTGGAAACTTATGTAAATATTTGGAAGAAGGTTGCTCATTAGTGGTCTTCTGCTTGTTACCCAAGATATTTGTTTTCAGACTGTCAAAAAGTATTTATTAAGCACTTAGTATTTTCCAGGTACTATGGTAAGATATAAAGAAAGGGATATCACAGTCTAAAGGAGACTAAGGAAATACAGTATAAAAGGAGGGTAATTAGAAAGAAGGCAGTGGGCACTGGGCCAGGAAAGGAGGACAGGCTGGGAAGGCCTCTTGAAGAAGGTAGAATTTGAAATAAGTCTTGAAGGAAGCCAGGAAAAGTGGGAGACAATGATGAGGAGGGCAAACAGTTCTGGCTTGGGAGACAGTCAATGTAAAGGGATCAAAGAAGCAAGAAAGCCAGTATCCCTAGATCATACCGTATGCCAAGCTGGGGTAAAGTATAAGAAAACTGGACACAGCAGAACGGACCAGGTTGTAAAGCACTTTAAGAACCAGAAGATCTCATATTTAATCCTGGAGGTAATAGGGAGCTATCAGAGTTTATTGAGGAATGGAATGATGTGGTTAGATCTAGTTTTGTTTTATATTGCCTTTTGATTTAAAATAACGAAAGGATAACTTTCCTCCCTTAATATTTATTATAATCTGTAATCTCAGCATATTGGAGTCACCAGGCATATATTTCCTCAGGTCTCCTAGGTGGGACTTATAAGCCAGGGAAATAAAGAATATACCCAAATGCATTCAGATTCTATATACTGGACCCTCTCCCAAAGGTTCACTTTGAAACAACTTTTTAACAGATTGACCAGTTCAAAAATGAAATGGCTTGCCTCATCATGTAATGAGCTCCCTGGAAGTCTCAAATAGTGGCTGAATAATCATATACTGAATACATGATGTAGAGTGAAATCATACCTTGGATAAGAACCAGGCTAAATTAGTTTTAATATTCTTTTCAACTCTATGAATGAATAAATTTTGTTCAGTTGTTTCCAACTCTTCATGACTCCATTTGGAGTTTTCTTGGCAAAGATACTGAAATAGTTTGCCTTTCCTTCTCCCTGTCATTTTTCAGATAAGGAAACTGAGGCAAACAAGGTTAAGGGACTTGCCCAGGATCACACAGCTAGTAGGTATCTGAGGCCAGTTTTAAACTCAGAAATATCAGTCTTCCTAATTCCAGGCCTGGCACTCTATCCACTGAGCCACCTAGCTGCCCTTTCAACTCTAAAATTCTGTGAATTAATTATTTGATGTTCACTGTAATGATCATTAGTCAGTTGTCCTGCAATTTTTCCTCTCCTATTCAATTTAATTTATACTAATATACTCTGCTATGTGCCAAGCATTGTGCCAGGAACTGCCATAAAAAGGTAAAAGAATAAAGTTATCCCTTCCTTCAGGGAGCTTACATTCTGCTGGGACTTGTATTTTACTTATCTGTGTATACATACTTGCATTAAGAATTAAAATGAACTGGGCAGAAAACTGCCTTGCTTTAAAAAAAACTGACCCATTTTGAATTTTTACAAAGTCATCGTCTTCCCCATGAAATACACACACACACACACACACACACACACACACACACACACACACACACACAACCCCCTCTATTAGAGGGTCTAGTGTAATTTTTATGTCCAGATGCAGAGATTGAAGTTTTCCTTCATGAAAGCATAGGAAACATTTCCTGCATCTTAATCACACTTTAGCATTGCAAAATTGGAAAGCTGAGAGGAATTAGGGAAAAAAACTCTGTGTCACCCTTTTTTATTTATTTTGGAGGGATGGTTTCTGCTACTGCTCAGCTGTGACTCAAGCCAGTGGGTCATGTCAACAAAACACCAGGGAGCATTATAAAAGTGGAGCCATTGAGGCATGCAGGAAAGATAGTTGGCAGAATCTGACAAGCTTTGCTAAAAGACCAGCATTAGAAGATCGCAATGAGGAGTCTTCCAGTTCTCCTGTTATACCTGGCATTTTCTGCAGCCTACCCTCTGGACCCAGCAGCCACAGTTGGAAAACTGAGCATGGATCGTGTCCAGGTAATGTAGGAAGACAGGCTTCACTTCTGCAGGGCAGGCAGGCAAGCAGACAGGAGTACAGTGGATCAATTGGAGAAATGACCTTTTCCTTCCTGTTATTTTTTAATGAACTTAAATGGCTTGAATGAAGGGCAGTATCTAGGCATATTTAAGGGTCAAAGGACCATAGTTTAAAACAAGTAAGTAGGAAGCTTTCTGTTTATGTTAAAAACATTTAGCTGATAATATTTCTCTTGGAAAAGGCAAAAGTCTTATGGAGATAGATGTTCATCTCGATCCTCTCCATGGAGAGGTCTATACTATTAAGGGATGTGGAAAATTAAGGAAATTGTCTAGATAAATTCACCTGAAAGCCACCCAATTAAATCCAAAGTGTTCTTTTTCTTTCTTTATTTAATACACTTTACTTTTCTTTGTGTAGTAAACCCATTCACTGTGAAGTTTAAAAGTCAGTTATGAAGAAAAAACAATGGAAATGAATGCTTAATTGAAGAATAAAGTGATAGTATACAATCAATTCACTTTCATTTGGAAAAGCTAGAGGAAATACTTCAAATGGGTTGAGATACAAGCAATAGAATAACATTATTTCAACGATACTAACAATATTATTAGTACTATCTTTTTTAATTACTTAAACCTGTGGTTTCATTAGTGTAAGAATTTCTAGTGTGAAAATTCTCTTCATTGATATAAACTGACAATTTATCTATAATTATAGTTTTAGAGAGTTGCCTGAGGCACCGAGAAATTAAGTGGTTTATCCTTATTTAAACAGCCAGTGTGTGTCAGGGCAGTATTTGAATCCAAGTCTTCATGGCTCCAAGGCTGGCTTTTTATCCATTATGCCATGCTATTTCTTATTGTTAATAGTAATACCTGGTAAAAAAAAATCTTAGGAGTGACTAAATAATTATACTTCTTATCCCACTAGAAATACCTGGAAGACTTCTACCACCTTGAAAAAAATGTGAATCAGTTTGTTCGTATGAAGAGCAGTAGCCCTGTCGTTGCAAAAATACGAGAGATGCAAAGGTTCTTAGGCTTGAAGGTGACTGGGAATTTGGATGATGATACTATGGAGATGATGAAGAAGCCCAGATGTGGATTTCCTGATGTTTCTTCTTATGCTTTCTTTCCCTATATGTCTAAATGGAAAAAAAATGAGGTTACGTACAGGTAATGTTTGGTGCAGAGGTTTCTTGGAGTCTTAACTTCATCATTTACTTCTGATATGAAAAGTAATGATTGTGGGTTAATTTTCTTCATTCTTTAATAAAGGATTGTGAACTACACAACTGATATGAAACAAACTGATGTAGACACTGCCATAGAGAGAGCTCTGAAAGTCTGGAGTGATGTTACTCCCCTCACATTCACCAGGCTCGATGAAGGAGAGGCTGACATAATGATCTCTTTTGCTGTAAAAGGTAAAAAACAAGATTCTCCCCTCCCTTTCTTCCATTCTCCTGCCTTCTTTCCACAGTAGAAAGAATCCTGCATTCAAACCAGAGGGTTTAGATTTCAATTCTTGGATCTGCCAATTATTATGTGTATGATCTGGAGCCAGTCACTTAAATTCACTGGAAATCAATTTCCTCATTTATAAAATGAGGGGGTTAGATTTAATTCAACAACTGGTAGACAGCATAGTAAGATGGGAAGCTCACTAGGTCTGGAGTAAATTTGAGCAGGGCTCAAATTCTGCCTCTGATGCTTCCTATGTGAACCTAGGCAACTTACCTATCCTTGCTGGGTCTCAGCTTCTTCATCTATTAAAAAAAATGGGAGGGGGGGTTGAACTAGATGGTCCCTGAGGTCTGTTCCAATGATAAAATCTAGGATAAAATCTGATCAATAAGTATTTATTTAATGCCTATCGTGGACTTGACAATGGGGTAGGTGCTGGAGAAACAAAGTAAAAAACAGAACAGTATGCAAAATACACCCTAACAGAAATATACAGTCATTTACATTGGGGTTGGGAACTAACAATGGGGACATTCTATAAACACCTCTCCTTGGAGGTAGCATGTAAACTGAGTTTTGAAAACACGACTTTTAAAGTCCTTTTCAGCTCTAAATCTATGATCCTATGAACCCATGCCAGCCTGGAAAGTAGCTGCACTTTAAAAAAAAAAAAGACAAATAGAAAAGAATCTTGTCTGGCAAGGGGATTTGCCAGAGGAGAGGAAGCCAGTTAAAAGGCAAATAACCATGTGTTCTAACCAATGTGATATAATTGTTTCCAAGGCTTCTGAGGGAAAAACACTGTCAAAAAAAAAAGATGGCTTTTTTTCTCTTAGATCATGGAGATTTTCTACCCTTTGATGGACCTGGGGGAGTCTTGGGTCATGCCTATCCACCTGGGCCTAAGATTAATGGAGATGTTCACCTGGATGATGATGAAAAATGGACAGAAGATAAGAGTGGTAGGTTAAAATTACCTTAGGGTGGTTTTTAATAAAAATGATGATTAACTAGAATGCTCTGGAAATGGAATGACCTTGTTAGTTGCATTTTTAGGAGTTGATTAGAAAATTTTTTGTTTTATATCATCATTGTTGACTCTAAAAAGCATATTAATTCACCTTTCTGCTTATAGTGAGCATAGTAAGAACTTTATCTAATGATTCAGAATCAGGACCTGATTTTAGATCCAAGATTTGACTCTTGCTACCTATGTGACTTTGGACAAGTCTTTTTTTTTTTTTTTAAGCTAGGCAATGGGGTTAAGTGACTTGCCCAGGGTCACACAGCTAGTACGTGTTATGTGTCTGAGGCCAGATTTGAACTCAGGTCCTCCTGAATCCAGGGCTGATGCTCTATCCACTGCACCACCTAGCTGCCCCTGGACAAGTTTTTAAAAGTCTCTAGGACTCAGTTTCTTCATCTGAAAAATGGGCATATTGGACTAGTTGTTCTCTAAGGTGCTCTCTAGCCCTATATCTATGATCTCATCATCTTGAAGATTATAATTATCAGTGGCAATTTCTAGAATATTATAGATGTAGAAGGCATAATATAGTAAATTGAATCTTGCTTACCTAAAGGCAGAGCTAGGAGGTTCTTCTGACTAAATCCCCAGCCAGAGGGATTGGGTGAGAATTCCACTTAGTGGAATTTTGATTAATTGAGATTTCACTATATCTAAGCTCAGGCACTCTTTTATGGTATCTTCGGAATATTCCAGTTCCAAAATATGGTATCTATGCTTCAGTGTTTATATTCTTTACTAAATTATATATGTCTCAGAGCACTCTTGCAAGGTTGAAAATGAACCATATTCTAAGTGTTCACTAATAATGGAAATGGTTATTGTGATAGAAATGAAAACAAAAATAAACACTTTATTGAGAGAATGACGTTGAAGTGGACACTAAATAAAAACTTTCAGACTAGATTGGGTCAACTAGCCCTAGAAAGGGCAAAGAGTCATCTAGATTGAGATTGGAGCTTCCATTTTGGTCATGAATAGCATGAACTCAACAGATAAACATAAATAATATATGTGTTTACTGTTTGGATAATTCAAAGACTAGTGTTTTGGTCACTGAAAATTGATGATTTCCCACCAGGAGTCAATTTATTCCTTGCTGTTGCTCATGAATTTGGCCATTCGCTGGGTCTCGCACATTCTAGTGATACCAGAGCTCTGATGTACCCAGTCTACGACATAAACACAGACCTCACTAAGTTCCGCCTTTCTCAGGATGATATTGATGGCATTCAGTCTCTCTATGGTGAGTGCAGAAATGAGTTCAATTTTTTTCTAAGGGGTTCTTCGATTTATCTCTCTGTTTGTCTGTCTATCAACAAGCATTTACTAAAGAATGACTACATGCCAGGCATTATGCTAAATGCTGGGATTACAAAGAAAAAGAAATAGTCCCTGCCCTCAAGGAGTTTATACTCTAATAAGGAAAACAACATATATGAATCAGTACATACAAGATAAATAGGAAATGTATGGGAGTCTTAGAGGGGGAAGCACTATAAGCTGTGGGGACCAGCAAAGACCTTCTAGAGGAGGTGAAAGCTCATGAGCTGAATCTCAAAGGAAGCTATGTCTTCTAACAGGCAGAGATGAGGAATCCTGGGGAAAATGTAACTATGATGAAATGTGTTTAAGCTAAGCACACTGCGAATGTATTGAAAGCATAATCCTTCAAGGAGGCACTAAAAGTCTCTGCATTCACATTCTCATTCACTTCCTTTTTTCTCCCAAAATTTCCCTCTAGGATATCCATCAGTACCACCTACCACATCTACAGAAAACGAGACACTTGAAAAGGACCCAGCAACTTGTGACCCAAACATGTCTTTTGATGCAGTGAGCACTCTTCGGGGAGAAATGTTGTTCTTTAAAGACAAGTAAGATCAGATGAAACGTTTCCCTTCACCTAGTTCTTAGAATTGTTAAACTAAGAAAAGAAAAACAAAGCAGAACAAAACCAAATCTGAACACTAATTTCTGAACATTCAATACCGGAATTTTTCCTCTAGACAGTCAACAAATCCAGATCTGGTCTGCATTCCCTAGATAGTCTCTCTCTTTCTAAATGATGAGCATCATGTTTTCGGACTTGAATGTGACTGATGTTGGCTCAAGATAGTTGCATCCAGGGTCAACCTATGTCCTCTGACCCCAAGAACAGTACAGATGTCTTGCCGCTGGAGTCTCATCCAGCCACATTGATTTATTCTGACTGATCTATAGATCCGTAGTGACATTTGTACATCTGCCCAAAGAAATGCTAAGTGGCCAAATTTTAAAATACACCCTACTAATAAATCAACATGTAGCCATATTTGCCTTCCACAGGTCAGATACAAAGTGCACACAGCCCCATCACCCTATGGAGGGCAGCCCACTACAGGTTCTCAAGGTAGATTAAGAGTGGGTTACAGAGAGGCTAGATAGAGAGACTCTGCAGAGTTGTTTAGCCCCCACATTTCTCCCGTAGCACAAGGGGTGTCCTAGACGAGCTGGTGCCATTATTGATCAACCCTTCTCTAACCTACTATAGGAGCAGCATGGATAATGTGAGCACTGGTCAGGGTATGAAGGCACTTAGCAGGAGAGAGAATACCTGTGAGAAAAGGGGATTGAGGAGAAAGTTCTTCTGACCACCCAATAGGAGAGCCCTCCCTCTCCATACCCTCACTCCCCATCTCCCCCTTCCTCAGATAAGGTGGCTGGTAATCTCTCAAATATCTAAAACTAATGGGATGTTTGATGTGTGGAATTCTTTTAAAACTGGTTTCAGGTACTTTTGGCGGAAGTCCACCAACAGTATAGAGCCGACACTCTGTTTGCTGTCTGCTTATTGGCCCTCTCTTCCATCGGGTTTTGATGCTGCCTATGAACTCACTACCAAGGACACGGTTTTTGTTTTTAAAGGTAATTATTGGACAGTCATTTCTTTAACTAATTGGGGTAAATCCTAATAAGACTTGGATTTTCCTTACTTTATCAAATCATTTTTATCCATCGGTACATAACATAGCAGTTCTAATGCCTAAATGATGTGGGAGATTACAAATCATAGGGCTGAGAGGTGGAAAGGATCTTTAATCAAACTCAACGTTTCCAAAAAGGAAACTGAGGCCTGGGGATGGTAAGTGACTTGCCCTACTCTGGGTCCTCTGACTCTAGACCTAATGGTTTTTGACTCTCTATGAAACACATTCTTTCCTGAGAATTATAAGGAAACACAATATCTGCTGGAACATGATTTAAATATCACTTCTTGAAGTTACTATTTTTTTTAAAGAATCCAAAATTACAACTTTCTATCTCAAAATTGCCCTTCTTTGCTTAAGCATGCGAAATAATAGATTACAAATTCATTTAATAAGATGCCCGATAAGGCAGGTAGGTAGTATAGTGGATACAGTACTATGCTTGGAGTCAGGAAGACTCAAGTTCAAATCTGGCCACTGGAACTGCTTAATAGTTGTGTGATCTTGGGCAAATCACTTAACTTCTGTTTGCCTCAGTTTCCTCAACTATAAAATGGAGATAATAATATTAATAATACTTGCCTTCCAGGGTGGAGGAGGATCAATTTGTAAAGTGCTAAGTACCAAGTCTGGTTTATTTTGTTGTTTTTCAATTGTGTCCAACTCTTTGTGACCCCATTTGGAGTTTTCTTGGCAAAGATACTGAAGCAGTTTGCTATTTCCTTCTCCAGTTCATTTTATAGATTAGGAAACTGAGGCAAACAGGGTTAAATGACTTGTCCAGGGTCACATATTAGTATGTGTCTGAGGCCAGATTTGAACTCAGAAAGATGAGCCTTCCTGATTTCAGGCCCAGCACTGTAACTACTGTGTAAATAGTAGATTCTGTATTAATGTTAGCTAATGTTATTAGTGTTAAATATTATTTTCAAACTTCATACAAAGGCTTGTGTTTTCTTTTTAGCTACTGTAAAACCATAACATTTCATGACACTTAAGACTTCTAAGATTTTCACATACATGTTTTCATTTGATCTTCAAAACAAGAATAGGGATAAGTATGACTGTCCCCATTTCACAGATGAGGAAACTCAGATATAGAGAGAGATCAAAATGACTCAAATAAGTTACCCAGCCACTCAGGGGAAGAGCAAGAATTAAATTCCAAGTCTCCTGACTCAACTTTTTTTTTTCTATGCTATTTCTTCATCAAAATGTACTTCTAAAATGAAATAACAGTAAAGAACTTTGACCTCTCTCTCACTCAAAGCTGCTATGGATTTTTCTTCATAGAAAGCAAGTTCTGGGCTGTCAGAGGAAGTGACATCCAGCCAGGTTACCCGAGAGATATCTATACTCTGGGCTTTCCACGAACCGTAAAGAAGATTGATGCAGCATTTTTCCACAAAGAAAAACAAAAAACATATTTCTTTGTGAATGACATTTACTGGAGGTAAGACACAACTTGAACATATTACTATGAAGTTTAAAGAGCTACACTATTATTTCCCACCCCCACCCCCCAGTCCTTCAGTGAAGTCCTACCCTGGTACCTCATTATGGTGTAGAAATTACTCCCTTTTGGAGATCTAATAGGGTAGCTAGGAGACAAAGTGGTGAGTGCAAATGAGGCTTTAGACACTTGCTAGCTGTGTGATCCTGGACAAGTCACTTAACCCTCTTTTTTCAGTTTCCTTATCTGTAAAATGAGCTAGAGAAGGAAATGGCAAACCACTCCAGTATCTTTGCCAAGCAAACCCCAAATGGGGTCATAAAGAGTCAGGAAAACAGGGAATCTAGCCAATCAAGTGTAAGTTTTTACTTTATTACAAAACCTTGAATTTATCATAAAAATTCTTATGCTTCCATCGTGCACTGTTCTTGTTTAGTTTCTATATTGAATAGACATATTTCACATATGCTTACCTGTGCCTTGCCTGGAATTCCCTCCTTTTTTCTTCTTTCCTTTCAAAACTATGCCAATTCTTCAAGTCTGCTTCCACAATCCCCACCATGCCTTCCCAGATCGCGATCAGTCTCCCTCTCCTTTTAACTACTGCTGTACTGACAGTCCCCACCACTCAATTTAGCACTTGATTCTATACCGATTTGTACTGCCAACACTTATTTGTGTGTGTGTGTGTGTGTGTGTGTGTCTCCCTAATTAGGCAATAACATACTTGAGGGAAAGGAACATGTCTTGTCCATCTGTGTCTGAAGGTGCCTACCCCAGGGCTGAGCACATAGCTAGTGTTCAATAAATTCTCTTTTGATTAATTGAAGGACAATCTATGTTCTCTGTAAGGGCTGCTCTTTCTTAAAAGCAAAACAAAATGGAAGTAAATAAAGTGCTTCACATAGACATTCATATTTATCATCATTGTCAGCCTCTGAGAAAGAGAGGAAATGATACTCATTTCACAATAAAGAAAGCCAAGGAAGGTAGTGGGGGGCAGTGGCTAAATAAATGTTCTGTTCGTGTAAATGAAATCCCAGCAAACCTACTAGGGATTAGTCAATGGGCCCAAGGTGCATTTACTGTGCTTATCCTCACCTTTCTAGTACCACTTCCCCAGAACCTACCCCTTTTATTTGATCTGTGACTTTCATAGGAAACACATCAAAAGGTAAATGGATAGCAGAGGTGAATCATACACTTACTTCTGATATATCACCAATCATTGTAAATATATTTATTTTCCTTTTATACTGCAGACAGTTGCCTCTATTCTACACTTCACATTGTATGTGGACATGGTAGATTTGCCATGTAGATTTACTTTAGACAAGTGCTTGTGCTTTCTTGGCCCAGACTAGGAATTAATTTCTAGATTGTCACCTACCAGAAATTTTGCTGATATACAATGTCACTGGGCCAGGCTGGTGCTATCCATACATTTACAGTTCAGTACAAGAATTACTGATTGACAGCTCAACTAGGCTCTGACCAGAGAAAGAGACACTAAAGAATAATGTATTTGTCCTCCTCCTTCTCTTTGATGATTCAATACACACACACACACACACACACACACACACACACACACACATATCCTAGGCAGTAGTCTACGTTTACAAAACCCCAGAAATTCCCCAGCAAGAGGAGTTATAACTTTTCTCAGACTGTCACACTCCTCACCTGGCAAATTGATATTGATGGGGAGAGGTAGAAATCTGAGTACTTCCAACTGGAACTCAAAAATCCCTGAATGAGACAATGCTCTGAAATGCGTATTTTATTATAATAGCATACTTACCACATCTTCCTTAGAAGGAGCTGTGTTGTCATGGTCCAATCCAGGACTATACTTTCGTTTCTTTCTGTTAAAATTGTTTTCTCCCTCTACTGCCCCACCGCCAATCTGGAGCTCCTTTCTGCTTCTAATAATTGGAGGTGGTTGATTAAAGGTGGGTTGATGATGGTATTTGGTAGGGCTTGTGGGCAGTACAGACCCATAGGCAGGATGCAACAATTGCTTTAAATCTCCATTTAGAAACCTTAAATTTACTGTGTAAATTTAAACTTGCAAATCTAAGAAAGTTACACAGGACAAATAAAATATTTTGAGGCCTAGAATTATTTGACATTTCTTTTCAAGACTGTTAAACATTTAAACAGGATGACCCACCTAGTCAGTTGGCAGGGCTAAAATATAAAACCAGTCATTTGTGAATTGAACATTAAAAGAAAAGAGCCTGTCCCCAGAGGCTACATTGAATGCTTATTTAGGAAAAATTAAAACTGAAGAATATAGCAAAAGACTGCTGGAAATAGACCCGGGAAAAGCTTCAAATGTTTGACTTCTTATATGGCAATCTAAATAAATTCAGCAGAATGCGCTGGCCTGTGCCACTAGGATGTGTCTTCAGCCTCACTAGGATAATCAAGCAATCAGTCAATAGATACTGATTAAGAAAATCAAACCAAATTGAACCATTCCCTGCCTTCAAGGATCTTACATTCTAATCTTTATTCATTTTGTTTTGATTAGGTATGATGAAAAGAGACATGCCATGGACCATGGCTATCCCAGACAGATAGCAACTGATTTTCCAGGAGTTGACGAGAAGGTCGATGCTGTTTTTGAGGCATTTGGTAAGATATTAGAGATTTCAACAATGACAAGGCATGTGCATTTTTATTATAGCAGGAGGGTTTTAAATATTTTCTACTTGATTCAACTTCTGGCTAGACTGTGGCACTTTCTGCAAATTTAAAATGTGGTAGAAAATTAAAGCAGTTAAGTCATAACTCAGACCATCTTCTCCAACTTTTCCCCACCTCTCACCAACAGTTTTGATGCAATTAAGTTTCTATTTGAGACAATAGTATTGGGGGGGTACAGTGTAATCTTAATTATGCTGATAATTGTAACAATTTTAAATGCCATTTTGCATGCAGACAAAAATATAATGCTTTCTCACTAATTCATGTATTGAGTTGCTATGTTTTGTATTCTTTTGTGGGTATACAAATACAGGAAAGTCTTCATTATAGTGATTTTTTTGAAAAAAAAAAAAGGAACCATGAAAGATCAATTAAGCGATGCAGTGGATAGAGCACTGGGCCTGGAATTAGGGAGATCTGAGTCCAAAACCAGTCTTAGACATATACTGGCTGGTTGACTCTGGGCAAGTCACTGAACTTTTGTTTGTCTTAGCTTCTTCATCTGTAAGATGAGGATATTAACAGTACCCACCTCACATGGTTGTGGTGAGAATCAAATGAGATAATATCAATAAAGTGCTTGTCACAATGTCTAGCACATACTAGGTACTTAAAAATGCTTATTCCTTTCCCTTGCATGGAATTTTCCAAGAAAAAAGCAAGATGAATTTAGAGTCAGGAAATTTTAGTTTAAATATAGTCCTGATGCTTACCAATTGTGTGATATTGAGGAAGAGGCAATGTCTCTGGATTTTAGTCTCCTCTTTTGTTCCATGAGGGAAGGTATTGGATGAGATTATTTCTAAAATCTCTTCCAGCTCTAATTCCTATGATGCTACGGTTTAATAATTCAATTCAACAAAAACTTATCAGAAGGATTGAGAAAATCTCCTCTTTGAGCATTAGGAGAAAGGGAAGCAAAGAGACAAAAATTCTAGTACCAATTTTGAGAATAATGTCTGATTCTGGGTTATGTATATTCTCTAAGTTTTTGTTTGTTAGAAAAAAAAGCTAATTGTTTCCCTTGCTTTTACTTCCAGGGTTCTTCTATTTCTTCAGCGGATCCTCCCAGATTGAATTTGATCCTAATGCTCAGATGGTGACCAGAACCCTGAAGAGTAACAGCTGGTTTAATTGTGAAGAGAGACTGTCATAAAATGAGGGCATTGTCAAAGCCCTCTTCACTAAAGCTGTTGAGGATGAAAATGGTTCATTTTCTGATGAATGTGCAAGGACCAGGGGAAAATACAAGCCTGATATCTGTGCCTTAAAAGTGTGTTAATTTATTGTGTCATATCAAGTTGAGCCATATTTCTCCTTTTTTCTCTTTTTTTACCTTTGCTAGGTTTCCGCTGATACAGAGGAAAACACTAATGTGCAATAGACAGGAGAATGTGCCTTAATAAGTTATTGTTTGTTATTCAATAAAGATTTCTACCTATAATTTACTTTGATTGGTTTGAAAATTAATCATTTCACAGAATTGCAAAATTTCAGATTTGGAAGGGATTTCAGAGGCCTTCTAGGCCAAAACATACCTAGGAAGTGATCCTGACTACAAGGTATCTTCAAACAGCCACCAAACCTTTGCCTGAAGACCTCTAGTCAGGGAGCCTACTAGCTTTTAAGGAAGCCCATTATATTTTTGAATAGCTCTAACCAATAGGAGATTGTGAAGGTAGATGATAATAGCTGATAATATTCAATACGTGTATGATGGTTTAAGATTTGCAAATCACTTTACATATGCTGGGCAGCTAGGTGCCACAGTGGATAGAGTGCTAGGCCTGGAGTCAGGAAGACTCACCTTCTTTAAGTAATTAATTTATTTTTAGTTTTCAACATTCACTTCCATAAGATTTTGAGTTTTTAATTTTCTCCCCCCCCACCAAGATGGCGTGCAATCTGACATAGGCTCTACATATACATTCCTATTAAGCATATTTTCACATTAGTCATGTTGTAAAGAAGAATTAGAATCAATATAAGGACCCACAAGAAAGAAGAAACAAAACAACAACAAAAAAAGAGAGCATATAGCATGCTTTTTTTTTTTTTTTGGCTATTGGGGTTAACTGACTTGCCCAGGGTCTCACAGCTAGTAAGTGTGTCAAGTGTTTGGTCTGAGGCCAGATTTGAACTCAGGTTCTCCTGACTTTAGGGCCAGTGCTCTATCCACTGCGCCACCTAGCTGCCCTATAGCATGCTTTGATCTGCATTCAGACTCCATAGTTCTTTCTCTGGATGTGGACAGCATTTTCCATCATGAAGACACATCTTCTTGAGTTCAAATCCAGCTTCAGAAACTTACTATGTGACTGTGGGCAAGTCACTTAAACTTGTCTAGCTCAGTTCCCTCATCTGTAAAATGAGCTGGAGAAGGAAATGGCAAACCACTGCAGTATCTTTGCAAAGAAAATCCCAAATGGGATGACAAAGGGTTGAACATGATTGAAAAATGATCAAACAACAAACAATAATTACATATGTATATATATTTGATCTTCACAACAACGCTGGGAGGTGGTTATTATTATTATCTCCATTTCATAAATAAGGAAACTGAGGCAAACAGGTTAAGTGACTTGACTAGGTCCACATAGTAAGTGTCTTAGGCTGAAGATCTTCCTGCCTCCAAGGCCAGTTCTATATCTACTGTACCATTTAATCTAGGGGCCTCTATAAAATGGGATAATAATAGCAGCTACCTGTCAGAGTTACTGTTAGGGTGAAATGAGATAGTTTTTGTAAAGCACTTAGCTGTTATCAAATGACAAGATGTGACAGCTATATGGAGTAAGAGAGAGTAAGGAGTCAAGGATCCCTCCTCTTCTTTCAATCTTTTCTTCTTTAGGTTAAACAGTTCTTATGTCTTTGCCATTTTGCACACCCTCCCTCAGATCCATTCTGGTTTATCAATGTTGTTCCCAAAATGTGCCCTTAGAACTAAATACTACCACAGATATAGAATACTCTATCATTCTATCTTTATTCTAGACCCTATTGCTCTATAAAATTGAAATTTGGTTAGTTAGGATGCAATATACTGAATTTATATTTCATAAAACCTGCTTGTTTTTTAATACATAAACTATAATCTAGACACTTCCCAATCCATTCCCCATGCTATACTTAAGAAATTGATTTTTAAAATCCATCTGAAGCCTTATACATTGGCCCTGATTAAATTTCATTTTATTAGAATTAATACATTATAGTAGCCAGTTCAAGTATTTGGAGATCCTTATTTTCCCAGTTTTGTGTCATCCACAAATCTGGTAATCATTCAATTAATTTTCATCCAAGTCATCATTTAACATACAGAGCAGGCCCAAGGGCAAATCACCCAGACCCTGTTCTAGAAACATCCCTCCAGATAGGCATCAGATTGGTTTTTCCTTGTGGCCAGATGGCCATTGTTGTTTCTACTTCCCTTGATCCTCACTTAATTTTTTTTTCCATAATCATTCACAGTTCTTTATCATATAAATATGTCTTTTTGACATATAATGCAAGTCCACTATTCTTTTTCACTTAATTGTTTCTTTTTGAAATATGACATAGCCTTCCATTGTCATATTATCATCCTGAGTCACATTCTGCCTAGCCCTGTGACACTGATGGGTTTGAATCTACCTCCTTGCTTAAAATTTTCTGTATCTCTTTATAATCTTCATTCTTTGCATTTTATAGGCATCTGAGTCTATAAGTTTTATTATTGCTTCTCATCCTGGATATTGTGAATGACTGTTCATCTTTATGGATGCTCTTTTTTTTCTGTTATAACTGCTACTTTCTAGATACATTTGGGTAACTGTATTCTTTCCTCTTTATTTTCATTTTAAAGCCCTTTTGACTAGATCTGCAAATCTCTAGACAAACATATACTTTATTGCTCCATGGTTGACGTATTCCATCCTTGGCCAAGAACATAGAAGTCCTTTATTTTAAGTCTTGATCAAAAATCTAATTCTCAGATAAACTGTTCATGTGTGTGTATGTATCTAAAATCTTTTTGTAATACCCAAGTGCAATTAAAAACATTTAATAACCAGTTCTATTGAAGATAAAAACCTATATAATGCAATAGAGTTAATTTATTCAAATTTTTAATGAACAAAGAAATCAATTTATTCTAATATTTTGTTTCTATATAATAGAAATATAATAGTCTAAACACATGTTACATATATAATAGTCTAAATGGCTTTAATAGAAGATAAAGTATATTTTGGTTAGTTTAGTTTAAAACTATAAGAGCTGTTAGAACAAAATTTTACATGTTAATTATATACATTAATTTGAGTAGTGGACATTTGTACTCAAAACATCTGTCACTGAATGAACTTCATGCTAGTATCATTGATGTGTTCAGTGCCTTAACACAGCTGCAGAATTTGTCCATGTAACTAGAAAACTATACAATTTGTATATGCAATGATTGCAAACATGTTGAAACCTAATGATTCTAAAATTAAACTTTATAAAACTAATAAATTATCTCTTTAGTGTTTTACAGATTATTTTTTCTCTATAGTATTAAAGTTATTAAGTTTTTAACTTGCACACGCACTTGTGGACACTGTATATAGTCCTTAATATGTTTCTACAACAGCCTGAAGACTATACCTACTTCACAGCTCTCTCTCCCAATCAGAGAGGAGTAAAAAAATCTCCAGCTTTCTCTTTCTCTGTCTGTCTGTCTCTGTCTCTCTGTCAGTGTCTTGTCTCTCTCTGTCTCTCTCTCTCTCTTTTTCTCTCTCTCCCTTTCATTTCTCTTTGGGAGAGAGGGCAGGGGAAAGGGAAATGCCTAGGGGCCAGCCAGGAAGGTTTTTGGGGAGCCACACAGATGACTACAACTAATACATATGAAAGACAGGTTACCATAATGTATTAATTCTAATAAAATGAAATTTAATCAGGGCCAATGTACAAGGTTATACAGATACTGGAATGGTTTGCCATTTCCTTTTCCAGTTCATTTTGTAGATGACGAAACTGAGGCAAATAGGGTTAAGGGACTTACCCAGGGTCACACAGGTAATAAATGTCTGAGGCCAGATTTGAACTAAGGAAGATGAGTCTTCTTGACTCTGGGCCTGGCAGTCTATTCACTGTACCACCTAACTGCCTAGGTTTAACCTTGGACAAGTCATTAAACCTCTGAGAGCATCAGTTTCCTCAGCTGAACTTCAACATACCTGAAATTCCTTCCAATAGTGACACTCTATGATTCCATTAAACAACAACAAAAAAAACAACCTTTTGTTAAGCTTTTTTCTGCCTTTTATTAGCATAGGGACAATCATTTTGCTGTTAACAACAACAAAACTAAAGGACTTTTTTCTTTGTGTGTGTGAGAGAGTATAGTATAGTGATTGGAGTGTTGGATACAGAGTCAGGAAAACTTCAGTTCAAATTCTGCCTCCAGTATGGACCAGTAGTATGACACTAGACAAGTCATTTAATCTTTCTGATCTTTTTTTCTTTATCTGTGAAGTAAGATGGTTAGATGAGATGATCTATGAGGTCCCTTCCAGCTCTAAATATGTGATCCTATAATATTTCCTAGCATATGTGCTTAACGAAAAAGTTTCCTACTTATCATTTTCCTTGAAAACAGTATTAACATTGGCTTCAATTCTAGGGAAATAATTTGTAATTTTTTTATTATCTGCATTCATAGTTTGACTGAAGTTATTATAATTTATCAGAAAAAAAGTATAAATATGGGAAGGTGAAAAAAAACCAATTAGCCAACCAGATCAAAACTATTTTGACAGGCACTACCAGCTAGGAATGTATACATACCTATACCTACACACACACACACACACACATATTTATACACATGACAAAAGCACATAACTCAATATATTATCCATAAAATGAGGCATAATTGGACTAAAAGAGCCATGAGGTCCCTTCAAGCTCTAACCTTGCTATAAGACAAATTCCTGGATGTGTTCCACAGTATGTTCCATTTAAGTGAAATATCATGAGTGATAAGGTGTTTCAAGCATCTCAAGGAAGTTGATTAGATTCATCTTCATCAATCATGAAGCAAAATGGAATAAATACAAAGAAAAATGCAGTAGGAGCCGGGAGACTGCCTTTAAACCTTCCTGTATCATTATCTTTGTGAGAACTTAGGAAAGTCTCATCATGTTTCTGGGCTGGAGTTTTTTCATCTACAAAATGAAGGGGTTGGACTACATGAATCCTAAAATTTCTTTTTAGGTAAAAAGAATGGCCCTTCATAAATTTCAGTCCTATAGTTATCGCCCAATCCTTAGACTTAGTAAGCTTCAACATCTGGTTGATGGCAACTGATCAGTAGAGGGGAAACACTTAATGGATTGCACAAATGTTGAACTGGACACTTTCTAATTCTAATTCAATGAGAGATGGAGAAATTTCAATA